AGGGCAATCTTTTTTTTTTAATGCCCTGCCCCGACTTTTTCTGTAGATTTGTCCGTTTCCTCCTTTCCTGAGCGTCAGTGGACAAGCGCAAACTGGACAAAGGCACAGGTTTGCCAAAAATTCGGGCTGCGACCCCTAGCAGGACAGTGTTAGGTGGGAGGGAGAATGGGGTGGAGGAGCAAGTGGGGTTTGAATCCGGCCCCAAGTGGCTGAGAGTCTTGGGCTGGCTGAATGCACAGGGGATAGAGGAGGGGACTTGGGCTTGCCCCACACTCAGGTGGGGTGTGGGGGGTGGCCTGAAGTCGGTTCCACACGCGCAAGGCATAGGGACTGAGGCCAAGGGCAGCTATGGGAAGGAACCGTGGCTCACCCCTGTGACATGTAGGGATGTAAAATCCCATTTCATTGGCTAACCTGTTAAACTTTGTTTAACGTGTTAACTGATTAAAGGGGAGTGGGGCACTGCTCCAGCCTTGCTGGGCTGAAGTGGCCCTCCCTGCCTATGCCTGGCCAGTTAAACTTTCATGTCCTTAATGCAGTGGCCATTTTCCCTTGGGGGGGGGGGGGGAATACTGTGACATGTAGGGATGTAAAATCCCATTTCATTGGCTAACCTGTTAAACTTTGTTTAACGTGTTAACTGATTAAAGGGGAGTGGGGCACTGCTCCAGCCTTGCTGGGCTGAAGTGGCCCTCCCTGCCTATGCCTGGCCAGTTAAACTTTCATGTCCTTAATGCAGTGGCCATTTTCCCTTGGGGGGGGGGGGGGAATATGGTCACCTTATCTAATTAGGAACACTGAACCCCACATTCCTGATTTGCAGTAGCATATATGTGAATGTTTGTTTACAATTCATTTTAAGTAAGTATTTACATAAGATATACGGTTCCCAGAATCAATATGCCAGGTAGTAAAGGCTATTCAAATGCTGCTGAGGAAATACTGTAGGTAGGAGTTTGTGTTATGAAATATTATTAATTCTTAATGGGAGAAAGGAAGTTTGAATCTTTTAATGTGCTTTAAAAAGTATTTAATCTTCCTATAAAAGTATAAATTTTTACCACATGTATTCTAAAACAGTTTTATTTTTCAAGTGGTATTTGAATCACCATCACCACGATTTGAGCACCAAATAACTTCTTGTGCAAGCAACCTTAGCAACATAAAAGTGATGCCTTTCAGTTGTAACATACTTTGTCATTTTGGTGCACTTTATGAAAGGTAGAGCTATAGATGTGGATTTGATTCAGAGGAGTTGAAGATGCTGCTTAGAAAGTATATATCCAAATAAGAGTAAAAACTACACAAGTGTCTAAATACAAGTTGTATATATTTTCACAAGTAACTATTGATGATGGGATGGCTAACTTGAAACTCTGTAAAAGACATTTCACTGTTTGCCCTCATAAAATCAAGTTCCTTTAAGATGATTAAACTGATATCCCCAAATCACTAATTGCCTCTGAAAATGTAGGTCAATTAGTCTTTTAATGTACAAACAGCTGTGGCACATAATACTTCTGGTGACATGCATTAGGGAGGTGAAGGTTTAACTGGTTAACCCATAAGCCTCAACCTTAATGGATGAGATTTACCGCAGTTAAGGTAAGCTGGTGGGGGCTGGAGCAGCTCCAACCCCACAGAGAGCCCGCCGCAGGTAGAGACTCTGGCATCCTTGCTGGACCAGCCTCTGCCCTTGGTGAGCCTTGGTACCTTTGCAGACAGGAGCTGTTCCGATTAGGATGCTGGAGCAGTCACTGCCTGTGAGGTGCTCTGGCCTGCTGCAGTCGGGCTGCTCCAGCATCCCAGCCAGAGCAGTTCCATGGCAAGCTAGGTTGCCCTGCAGGCAGGGGCTCTTTTGACCAAGATGCCAAAGCGGCCCCTCCCTGTGGGGTACCATGGTCCACCGCAGGCAGTCTGCTGTGGTGGTGAAAGGGACTGCTAGAGCAGCTCCTGCTTTTGGTGGATGAAAGAAGGGGGGCAATATGTTTAACCAATTAGTCAATAAAATGAGAAGAACTCAACCAATGCTTATTGAAGTTCAGTACTTTCTATTCTGCTCTTGTTCTTTGTTTACTATGAAGCAAAATGTATGTTATACTCTTGCTAAATTCTTTAGAACTACTTAATCAAGATTCCTCACTTCACATGGAAAATACTTAAACATTAGTTCTATTAAAGGTGGCAGATGAAACATACATTGACACCTAAGACTATAACTGATATATGGTATCATGAGTAACTTAATTATCACATTATGAAAAACTTAAAAAACAACTAATAGTTTGGTAGCACTTTAAAGACTAACAAAACATGTAGATGGTATCATAAGCTTTCAAGGTGGGATAATTTTAAATACAAACACAAGATGACATTCCAAGGAAGAAAAATTATAAAAAGCAGCCTAAGAACATCAACAAAACCTGTTTTTACATGAAGTAACTGATTCCCTTTGTAAATACTGCACCCTGATGATTGTATCATTGAAGGTAACAGAGTAAAAGTTCTTTGAAGGGATTAGTGTGACACTTAACATCACTGCATAGAGAATTCTCTGGAGTTATGTACTACTGGCTAAAGTGTATCTGTAAGGAAACTTAATTTTGACTGCCAACTAGGGCTATTACTTACTGTTTAAAAAGTTAACTGGTTAAATGCTGTTTAACCAATTAATCCTCATGAGGCTCCCCCACTCCTGGTGTGATGCGGTGGGCCCAACCAGACTGTAGCCAGCTCCACACTGCACCCAGTAAGCATTCTAGTAAAGCTCATGCTTACCCAGTAATTACCTTTATATCCCAATGTAGCTCTGTTTTCGTTCTTTCTAGAAAACATACTGAAAGTCTATTTAAAAAAAAAAAAAAACCACCTTTGTGACTTTTCCAGGTATAAAGGTCCATTAATTGTCTCCTGCTACGCAGGACTGTGACTTCTGGTAATGTGCAAGACCTACTGGATAGATCGTAGCAACAGGGTTCCCAAGCTGCAGTGGGATAATTGATTGTATGCATATCCCTATTTTGGCATCAGCCCTTGTTACGGAACAGAGGGATATGCATACAATCATTTTGGCATCAGCCCTTGTTACGGAACAGGTTATTTTTCCAGGGAAATGCAAGCACTGGTAGGTTGCTGGAGACACTTCAGTGATATCATTATTGGCTGGCCAGAAAAAGTGTATGATTTTTGCAACTTTAGGAACACATCTGTTCAGAAATCTGGAAGCAGGGATGTTCTTTCCCAGCCTCTGCATAGAAATGCCAGCAGTGACTGGGGTGATCCACAACTATCCCTTGGTCCCCTGGCTTATGAAACCTTGTGCTGGACACATCAACAGCTCCAAGAAAAGATCCACCTGCTCAGTGTAAGTGCAAAATGACAGATGCAGGTGAATGTTTTTATGGCAGATTGAAGGGACACTGGGACTGTTTACTCACAAGATTGGAGCTCAGTGAGAAAAATGTCCCGGGGTTATAGCTACCTGTTCTGAATAATATAGGTGGAAAAGTTGCCACTACAATGGAGAGCAGAGGTGGGTGTCTCACTATCTGAGGGCTAGTCTACACTAGAATCACTACAACAGTGCAGCTGAATGGAGGTAACAACTGCTATAGTATTGCTAGTTCAAATGCTAGTCTATGCCAGTGGAAGGGAGCTCCCTGTTAGCATAATTACTCCTCCTCCCCAATCCAGAGTAACTGTCAGCGGGAGAGCAATAGTGCTGTCCATTAGGTTGGTGTAATTTACTTGCTCAGAAGTAGCTTTTTCACACCTCTTGAGTGACTTAAGTTGTACCAGCACTATTGTGTACAATTCCTATGAACCATCAAATGTAAAGGCTTTAAAAGAGCTCAATGCAGAGCCATGAGTCTGAGGGAGGCCTTGAAAGAACACTTTAAAAATCAGCCACTCTGATGTGGTGTGGACTGTTCTCCACCTGGCCCTGATGTTATGGAGGCCATTAGGAACTGTAGGGTGCTTGATGTATGCTCATGACTATAACCATCTTAAGGCACCTATTAAATTTGTGATGCTTACTGTACATTTATAATTATTATATTGTGTCTGATTCTTTGAGTTCTGTTATTGTACATCGGGGTCAGCAGACTTTGGCACTTGGCCCTTCAGGGTAATCTGTTGGTTGACCAGGAGACATTTTGTTTACCATGACCGTTCGCAGGCATGGTTCCCTGCAGCTCCTGATGGCTGGAAAGGGAATGGTTAATCACCAGCCGAGGCAGACTATGCCTGTAGGGCTATGTCTACACTGGCATGATCTTGTGCAAAAACTCTTTAGCGCAAGAGTTCTTGCGTTAAAGTAGTTGTGCAAGAGAGCATCTACACTGGCATGTGCTTTTGCACAAGAGATGTGCTTTTGCGCAAGAGCATCCATGCCAATGTAAACGTTCTTTTGCGCAAGAAAGCTCTGATGGCCATTTTAATTATAGGGCTTTCTTGCAAGAAATTCATGTTGCCTGTCTATACTGGCCTCTTGCACAAGAACAGTTACGCAAAAGGGCTTATTCCTGAGCGGGAGCATCATAGTTCTTGCGCAAGAAGCCCTGATTTCATACAGTAGAACGTCAGTTTACTTGCGCAAGAACACACGGCCAGTGTAGACAGGCAGCAAGTTTTTGCGCAAGAGCAGCCGTTTTGGTGCAAGATCACGTCAGTGTAGACACAGCCTAGATGGTCAAGGTAAACAGAATGTCTTGCAGCCCGACTGTGACAAGTAGTGAATGCTTTCACTAGAACTAGTAATAAAGGATGAATTATTTACCAACAAATAGATTGTTACCAAAGCAAGGTGCGATTAAAAATACAATAAAAGTTTCTGAAATGAACAGAGCTTAAAGGGGAGAGAACATTTATGTCCACTTAGCTACCCATACAGCAACCATGGCTCCTATCTTGGTGTACGTGAAGCTGTAGTTGTCCTTACTGTCTCACAGCATGGCATGGTAGAGCTAAGGACATTGCCTCTGCTGCCATGTGGAATGTTGAGGGCTCGGGGAGATGCTAAAATGGAGTTTTCCATTAACTGAGGCAATCCCATGATTGTAGGAGCTGCAGGTTAAATGAGTCTTCAACACCTGCATTAACAGGTG